AAATGAATACCCCCTAGTTTTAATTAAACATTCACCCTAAGGTGTAGATGAAAGCATCACTTTATTAATCATGCCGAGAAGGATGGGCAGGAAAATAAAATGTTGCAAGCAGTTTGCATAAGGGTAAAAGTTTGCAGAGTGAGACCCACTTGGTCGTCCTTTTGTTCCCCACTCAGAAGACAAGTTGAACAACTGAGTTGGCCAGGTAAATAAAAAGACATACAATACCTATTTTGTCTTTAAAATTGTGCTGCCAGGTCCCATAATTGGGCCTCTGAGAACATGTGAATAATACCAAGTGTTCTAAGCATTTAGATAAAGCTCTTGGAGATTTATTATCTTAACATTTGCTTAGAAGAAGTAAGATTAGCTAGAAGATGAAAGAGCTAGGTATTGGAGTGATTGAATCCGTCAGACTGAAGTAAGTTAAACCCCAGTATCTCCATATCATTGCATGAATGGGTAGTGTTGAGTTTCTTAGTAAAAATTGAAAACCAGGGTGATGCATATAATTTTACTGGACCATTCACACTGGCTTATGTTTTGGAAGGATACTTTTCCAGACAATCTGGGTCCATTCATTTTGTTTTCTGTGACAGACTTCAGACATTGTGCTAAGCCTAAAATGGTTTAATGATGATTTGTTGAATTATTGTACATTTGACTGGATTTACATGACATACGAAGCCAGGGATGTAGAAAATGCAACTTGGGGACAGAACTGCATATCTTTTATGGCTCCCAGATCTTCCTCTTGAGCAAAGGACAAAAATGATAACATACACACCAGTGGTGGCTTTCCATTTTCTTTTACTGCTGGTTCGCTTGTGCACGTGCTTATGCTCGACAAGTGCGGGTGGGCGGAGCCTCTTGCTGCCACCACTACCAGTTTGCCTGATCTGGGCTCAACAGGGAGCAACTCACCTCTGATACACACCCTCTCCCTTTGATTCATTGGAATGGGTTAAAGGGTCAAATGATTACGTATTCTATTCTATGGGCTTAAAAACCTCTGGACCTCCTTCCCAACCAGATGAGGAGTATGGTCTCAAATTGCTGTGCAAAATCAGATACAATTCTCAAGCTGGTGGAAGTTAAATACTGTATTTCTGTGTGGCTGTAATGTGACTTATTTGTGCCTGGCATAGATCAGTGTGTGACTATGGTTACACTGTATAAATGAAATAAAATAATAGATTGTCCAGATAAATCTATTGATTCTAGAATACAGCTTTTTCTTCTTCATTATTTCCTAGAATGAGGCCATTGCAGTCAGTCTATCATAACTGAAAAAAAAAATATTATGTGCTGATTTTAAAAAGACAGAAAAATACTCAGAACTAATATCTTCATCTGAAATAGTTCAAGTTCAGTTTGATCTGCTATAGGTCAGGTAACAAAACAATTTGCACAGATAGAATATATTGTCATCCCCTCCCCCCTTTCCATTCAGTTGTGTCAAATTCTCGTAAATTGCCTGGATAAGTCTCTACAGTTTTTTGGCAAGATTTTTCAAAAGTGGTTTGCCATAGCCTGCTTCCTAGGATGGGCGAAACTGACTAGCCCAAGGTCAGCTGCTGGCTGTTTTCCTAAGGCAAGACTAGAATTTAGTTGTCTGATATCTAGCCTGATGTTCTTAATCACTACGCCAAACTGCCTCTCATATTCTCAAATATTTAAACATTAATATGTGATTATTTTACTGTCTTAGAAAAAGCCTAAAATAGGGTTGCTATTTTGTTGATAGTAAAGCACCCAAGCAAACGTAATATAAATGAATAGGAACTGGCTATTGTTTTTCAGCTTCAGTGCGCAATTATAAAATTGGGAAAGATGGTGATAATGGGAAATATAGAAGCTCTGGAAGAAATATGTGTTATTTAATATTTTGTGGCATTACTTATTGCATAATTTTACTCTTTTATGGAAGTTCTGTTTGTTGTTGAAGTCTGCAAGTCATGCTAGATATACATCCTCAGATGTAAAAGGCATGATCTGCTGCCCCATGCTAGGGGACAGTAATAGGGAAAGTCAGCTGTTACCTTTATATACTGCTTTAGGCTTCACATTGGCAAGGCATTTGATTGGCCACTGTGGAAAACAGGAGGCCAGTTATATTAGGGGTTGTAATAGGCTGTTTCTTAGATTCTTAATCCAGGAGATAATCAAGAACCCGGGGGAATCTGTTTCCTTGGTGTTGTGTTTCTCACATTAAATGTGCCATGAAGGTACTATGTAAATTAACAATCTGGTTCAATCATTTATATCATTTTGAAGCTGTTAGTACTTGTATTAATGTAGGGTTGATTGCCCCATAATATGAATTTGATGAAATACTGTTCAATTCTATGCTTTATGACTATAAGAATAGTGGTGTACATCTGAAGCTTGGTATGTCAGTAAACATCTATTTTGAAGCTGACAGAGCATATGTACAAGCTAAGGTAGTCCAACCTGTTGCATGTTTACATTACATTATAAACCCGCAGAGTTGTCTTGAATCTTGAGATGGTGGCATATAAAATTAATCAATAAACAAACAAACAGACAGGCAGACAGATAAAATAAAAAAATTACTTAGAAAAGGTGCTTTTTAAAGTCAATGCAGCTTACTCTTTGAAACAATAGTGGAAAGGATTATATCTGTAAATCATTTTACAATACAATCCAGATGATTTTACTGGAGAATAAATCCCAGTGAATCAGTCCTGTATTCATATCTGGGAATATAAAGCAATAATAAAGCAATTACATTTCCTCCAACTCTAAGAATTATCTTTTGGAGATTATTTATGCATTTATTTATTTTGTATGGCAGGTGACTCTTGTAAGGCAAGTAACTCTGGCTGGTGAACAATCATAAAATAAATTAAAAACAAATTGCCATCATAATACAAAATTGAAAGTTTGCACAGTGGCTGAAGAGAATATTACAATCCATGGTTGTTAAAACAAGCAGGAAAGGGGACTCTTCAAACGCTTGGGGCCCCTGGCACGTAACCAGGTATTTAGGGCCTTACAAAAGGCCAGCAGGGTTGGCGCCATTGTGCTCTCCAGAGACAGAAAAGGCACACCTGTTCTGTCCTGGTGGCTAATGTTCATTTGCTGATGGAAGCCGTACCATGACAAAATAAAAAGTTCCCAAGTCATCGAGGATTTTAAAGGTGGCAACTAGCCACCTTGAATTGCACTCAGAAGCACACTGGCAGCCAGTGCAACTGGTGAAGTAGTGGTGTTTCATGGGCTTAGTATCCAACACCATTTATTACTGTACAGCTGCATTCTGCACCAGTTGAAGTTCTAAATGCTTTTCAAGGGAAGCTCCATGTAGAGTGCATTGAAATAATCCAGATTGCATTGCAAGCCACCCTTCCCTTCTAGACAATAGTGTGAAAATTGTATTTATTTGTCTTGTATGCCGCCCACTCCCAAAGGACTCCGGGCGGCTCACAATAGACAAGGGAAGGGGGAAGACTAGACAAAGACAACACTTTAAAAACAAAACCACAACATTCACAATTTCCGCGGGGCTGAATGTTTCACAGGCCCCCCGGCCTGCTGGAGCAGCCAGGACTTGGTGGCTTTGCGGAAAGCCGGGAGGTTTGTAAGGGTCCGGATCTTGACAGGGAGATCATTCCAGAGGGCTGGAGCTGCAACAGAGAAGGCTCTCCCCCGGGGGGGTCGGCAGCTGACATTGGCTGGCGGATGGAATCCGGAGGAGACCTAACTTGTGAGATCTGATTGGTCTATGGGAGGTAAGAGAGGCAGTCTCTCCTGCTGATTTACTGAAAAGTAATGAAGTCATTGTATCATAGGCATCATGACATCATCATGCAAATGATGTGAATTGCATAAATTGCATCATGCACCTATTTCTTCCCCTGCAAATACCCACAGATGAGGTAAAGTAGGAGAATGTTTATTTTTCAAAATGTTATATTTCAAGCCAAACTTGGTTTTGGAGATTTATACTGTTGCATGTTATTCTATTATATTTGTCAGTTGAAAAATAGTATAATGTTTATAATGTTTGATGTATCAAAGTGGGCCTGACCTCTAATGACTGTATAGACAAGTTCCTGACTTATTTTTTGTACCTAAAATAAATCACTATGGATGTTATGGTATGTTATTGGTTTACTATGGAAACACATTTTAGCCTTTTCTAGTTATTATTGTCATTCCTTTATTTACCCAGATGTGGCATAGGTTGACATTTAAAGATTATTTTCATTAACTGATTTACTTTTGTATTCTAACATGTGGGAAACTCCAAAATAAGCACTATATGAGTTAATTGTCTAAGGATTTTTGTTAGTTCATTCTGAATTACCTGTGACACTGTGATTATTTTTACAGCATTGTCATGCCATAAATAGAAAGCTATGGATTCAAACTAACAACTTAGTAGTTGATAAATTTTGTCATAGCCCTATGGAATGCATTAAGTAACACTAATTCTTATGGAGCAATCAAAATATTTTTCAAAGACTAAAGGCAGCTTTTTGTAAGAAGCAAGATGTGCTAGTTTGGACCATGCAATAATACAAAAACTGAATTTGCTCTATTGCTTTTTAAATGCTGCGGTTTGAGTTGTCTAATTTCATCTTGGATTGCTATTTAGATTTGCTGATTGCATCATTCTTCATACGTGCAAACAGTAAATCTCTAGGGTAAAGCTGAATATTCTTCCTCTACCAACAGAGGTATAATAATGGTATATTTAAAAGAAGCCTCTCTAAGATACAAGGGCTGGAAAGAGATATGGTCTTGGGTGTGAAAATCAGCCACTTTGATGGGTAGGAAACTAAATAAAGTATCTGACTGTAAACAATTGTTTGTAATTTTGGTTGCTGCGTTTAGACTCTCCCTTTGTGAGCATTTATTGTAAAATATGTTCTTGGGGGTGGGGGTGGGGGTGGGGAGAATCTACTTGACAAAAGAGAGCTTGCTGAACTTCTTACCTGATTGTGGAATTGTATTTTCTTCCAGCAAACAGGGAAAATAATTCAGAGGAGGCCTAAATGTAAGAGAAGAAAAACAAAACCTGTTTAGTGATCTCTGCACCTGTCCATGTTGCTTAGTTTTTGAAGCGGGCATTAACAGAGAGAAAAAGAAAAAGAAAAGAAAAGATGAGTGAATCTTCAGATGCTGCATATGAAGGTCTAACCCTTTTCTCGCAGCACCAAGCCTGATGCTGAACAGTCAAAGCTGTTTCCAGGGATTACGCTATGCATGCTTGTCTGCTTAGTAACAACCCATTTCCTCGGTCAAGAGACTCTTAACTGATTGATTTAGAGAGAGAACAGGTAAGCAAAAATGAGAAGTATTTTTTTTTCTGAAGAAATAATATCACGTAGAGCTTGGGATAAGCAGTTAATGTTACTGATCAGAAGAGCTTTCTTGTCAGTTATGATTTATTGCCTGGTTATTCTTCAAACACTTGCTTAAAGGTATGCTGATGAACTTTGAATAGCTGTTCCGAAATGAAATGCATTGATGATTAAATAATATGTAGATTTAAAAGGTAACGGCCATCAGGCACATGGAGGGGGAGGAGATTGGTGCATCTCTTCAGTGCTCAGGTTTAAAATTACCAAGTAATGCAAGTCGGTGATGCTCTGACTTTGAATAACTGAAGGGCAATTGTTCTCTCTCTGATCAAATGGTAAAAGTTGGAGTGTGTGTGTGCATATGTGCGGTGTGTGTATGTGTGTTGTGTAGCTGGTTAATGCAGTAACTGCATAAGTCTTGCCTTTGCTGTGTTACGTCTGCTATATTAGCAGTTATATTTGGAGTGCTGCTGCTGTTACCCGTTGCTCCTTCTCTTATCTAAAAGGCCTGAAGGTCATAATCACTTGACTTGTCCCTTGTCCAGAAGCTTTGTTGATTAGGACCCATAGGCTAATTCAGATGTTTATTTGTTTAAACTACCTCTATCTTTGTACAGAACTTATCACATATGTTTTTGAATGAGGCTCCCCCCCCCCCGTATCACGTTTGTATAGTACAAGCTTTCAAAGATCTGTCCATTAGTGAAATACACCCTAACCTAATTTTGACACAGCAATTCCAGGGACACCGTTTCAGATACAGTTTTTAGCAGAGATGAGTGCAAATTAGAGCATATTTCCACAGACTGCTTTTTAATTTGTCCTATTAAAATACAAGTCCCCACAAGGGCATTATGCAGTTCTATTCTGCATCACAACTCCAGCTGTCAGCACCAATGAATCATACTGTAGAATCTCCAGCTGTCAAGAAAAATAATCGTGCTTAAATTATTTTAGTTTAAAAAGGAAGCAAACATTGGAACAACTGATAAAAACCGAATGTGTAAAATAACACAACATATTTGTTAGGTCTTTTCTCCAATAAAGTCTAGCAAATTTTCCTAGTTATTCTGATTTTCAGATACTTTGCCTGCTTGAATGTATAATAATGGTTTAGTAATGCATTATATATTGACTTTATGTGTTTATAATGGCCACTTTATTTAATAAAAGAAGTCACCGGAAAGAGATTGTTTTGAGCAGAATAGCAGAGGGGAAGGAGGTGCTGCATTTTCCTCTACTAAGATTTTTCCTCTGCTTCTTTGTGCTGTCCCCCCATGGAAGTGTATCAGCAAAAAGAAGTAACGATATGATACCAATTTACATAAAATTATCATATGCTAACTTAAATTCACTATGCACATTTATAATTTAATTTAAATATTATTTGTTTAAATAATTTAGATATGTATTTATTTATTGCTTATTTATCCTGTTTTTCCTCTTAAGAGTGTTAGTCAGCTCACGCTGAGATCTCCTTATAATAACAAGCTTGTAAATAGGTCTTTGACAAAGTAACTGGCCCAGAGTCACTAAGTGAGCTCAATGAATAGTCACGGTATTTATATATGATAATAAATCAGCATTAAAAAAGCACAGATGCATTAATAATACATAGCTTGATTATGTTTGCATTAACCTAATGAATGTTTTGCTTTATGCAGTTAATAAGTTATTTTATATCAGAATGAAGCAGCTTGACATAAATTCTTCTTTGTCCTGGCATGGCTAGGGAAAACTATTACAGAGATATGTTAAAAAGGTGCAGTGTAACAGAACGTGTTATATTGTTTCAGTCTTCCCAAATTCACATGGGGAAAAATGCTCCGCCTGGAAATTTTTGTTCAAAAATACAGATAGCTTTATGCCACTTTGTGGTTGAGTGGAGACTTGTGTTTGGATTTCCCCAGTCTAAGTTCAACATAACTATTATGCTCAGTTAAGATGCTGGGCATAGAACAGTGGAAACAGTACCAATTAAGTGAACTATAAGTCTGTCCTGTGTCCTGCCCAAGTGCAAAGTCCTGATTGGCAACTGAACAACCGCTGCTTTTCTCCTTACAGTTATTTTACTTAGAATAGGGGTTCCCAACCTCCAGTTTGTAGACTGGCACTGCGCCGTGGAATATCAGAAACCAGGCCACAAAATAAGCGAAATCCCATCCGCGGGATGCAGGCAGCACGTGAAACCACGCCCTCTCCAGTCCGTAGAAAAACCTCTCTCCTTGGAACTGATTCCTAGGAGCCAAAAGATTGGGGGCCATTGACTTAGAGGATACTTTCAGCTAGTGGACTGATGCCTCTTTAATGTAATGTAATTGCCACTTGTAAAATAGGAATCATGGCAGTTATATCTTCAATCTTCTACTTTTGCTTGACAAGTGGTGGCCATATAAATAAATTAGTCAAATCAGTGTGTGTGCGTGTGTGTGTTCTTCAAACCCTTATTTCCCAGCTATTTCCTATCATGGTGAAAAAATTCTAGATGTCTACCCAAAAATAAAATCTGAATGTAATAAGCAGAGTGCTTGCTATTTGCTATGTATTTTTGATATGATAAGTGGGCTCTGCTATACAGTTCCTGCATATCTGAAATAAACCACACTGGGAAAGAACAGTGTATAACCTGACTGGATAAATGTTTGAGGTAGCCCAGGTTCAGGAAAGAGAAGAATGGGAAGGTTTTATCTAGCAGTTCATTACTTACTTTTTATCTCTATCCTGAAATTTGATTTAGAACAATAATTGAAGATGTCAATCACTTTACTCTTAAGAAATTTCTCCCAGGTATCAAGATTTGTACTAAACTTTTTTAAATACAAAAGGATTGATTTAGTTGATAATTTTAAACAAATTTCTAAATCATCATCACTGATGCTGTAAGAATAATATGAAGCAAAAGCAATGAAAACACCAATTAATTTGTACACAAACCTTATGGTAGTCAGAAAATAATTTCAATTTGCTATTTTTATTGCTATTTTTGTATAGTTTACAGAATCTTACATAAGGTATTCCTGCTGCAATTTCACAATTTGGTGAAATCTGTGCTTAATCACTCAAAACAGTTATGAAATTAAAAAATAAGGCCATTAGATAAAATTGTTTTAAATGCTCACTTTGACTAGAAAGAATAATATAAATTGAATAAATAGATGATATACAAAACTGATATTGTCCATATTATGTGAGCAGGTCAATAACACAACATAATTGCCCTCATATTTCCTTTTTTTCTTATTTTCATTTGTTAAGTGATAAGGACACCCTACTAAAGTAATGCTACTATGAAAAACACAACATTGAAAATACATTTTGAAAAAGTCAAATACCACTATCTTAGGAAATTTATTAATTTTAAATTTTAATACCTTTGGCAAAATTTGGATTATACATTTCAGTTAACTGTTTCCTCTTTATTTACTTCCATATATTTTCTGATAGAAATGAGATGCTATGTAAGAGCAAAATTTATCTATCTCTTATCATTTCTTTCATGGATAGTGTGATATACCTGAACTAGGGAAGCTTAGGCTTGCCTCTCTGTTCATTCATACATTCCAAGTGAACTAAAGCCTTCTTTCCTCCTTTCATCACTTCATCATTTACCCATTTTTCTTGTTGTTGTAAAAGAAATATTCCCATGTGAGTTTCCCTGAACTTTCTCTAGAAGAGCATAGAACAAATATGATGGCAGCAGGGTATATTTGAAAGAAAGACATTTAAAAACAAGTTCATGTTATGTATAATTCAGCTATTATTGTTCAGGTGTCATTTTCTTTAGAGATGCAGCAACTTAATGCATAAAAGCCCCCCCCCCATCAATATTGAGTAATTGGAAACATTAACATACTAGAGTCATTGACACAAATATAATTAATCACAAGAATAGTAAATGAGTTACTAATTGAACAATTTCCAGAGCATTTAATAAGAAAATATAAATGACATTAACATCTGAAACTATACCCTCTGATAATTCTATACATTAAAAAAATATGTGCCATCAAGTTAGAGTTGAGTCTTAGAGACATCAGAGATTTTGAGAATAGTATACAAGAGATAGGCCAAATTTTACAATATTTCTTTTTCCAAATGAAACCAGAAAAATCTTTTGGAGCTATCATTAGTCAACCTACTCAGCCTCAACATTTGATATCATTATCTTCAATACAGTATTGATTTAACAGGAAAAATTTAACCAAGCTGAGATTTTGTTATCCAAGGGAACTTGAAATAACAAAGATTTGTTCATTTGCATATCTACCCTGCTTTAATATCACACAGTAGAAGTCCATCATATAAAATGCATTAAAACATTTTACAAAACTCTGTAGTTGAAGCATTTTAGTACAACCATAAAGATCATACAAAATGTCTGGCCTGTCTCATTACTTTGGCAGCTTAGAAAGGATAAACACTTGCCCCACTTCCTCAGAATGTGTAGTCCTCAATGGAACTGCATCTACATGGAGGGAGGTATGCAGTGGAGTACCCCAAGGCTTTGTTTTAGGCCCAGTACTCTTAAACATCTTCATTAATGATTTGGATGAGGGAATAAATGGGGAACTCATCAAATTTGCAGATGACACCAAGCTGGCAAGAATAGTCAACACTCCAGAAAGTAGGCTTAAGATACAGAAGGATCTTGACAAACTTGAACATTGGGCACTATATAATAAAATGAAATTCAATGGTGAAAAGGGTAAGGTTCTACATTTAGGCATGAAAAATGAAATGTACAGTATATGTGGTACCTTGCTCAATAGTACTAACTGTGAGAGAGATCTTGGAGTCCTATGGACAACCATTTAAATATGAGCCAGCAGTGTGCAGCAGCTGCCAAAAAAGCCAACACAGTTCTAGGCTACATAAACAGAGGGATAGAATCAAGATCACGTGAAGTGTTAATACCACTTTATAATGCCTTGATAAGGCCACACTTGGAATACGGCATTCAGTTTTGGTTGCCATGATGTAAAAAAGATGTGGAGACTCTGGAAAGAGTGTGGAGAAGAGCAACAAAGATGATTAGGCGACTGGAGACTTTCTAGAGTCTCTGCATCTTTTCTACGTCGTGGCGACCAAAACTGAATGCAGTATTCCAAGTGTGGCCCTATCAAGGCATTATAAAGTGGTACTAACACTTCACGTGATCTTGATTCTATCCCTCTGTTTATGTAGCCTAGAACTGTGTTGGCTTTTTTGGCAGCTGCTGCACACTGCTGGCTCATATTTAAATGGTTGTCCATAGGACCC